TTATCTTATAAAAAATTTGTATTTTTTAGTTTGGTTTTGGAGTAAAATTGTTCAAAATTTTAAAATATGGATTGACAAACTATAAGTAGTTGTTTTCCTGGTACTGATTTTAGAAATATTAGCATATAGATGTGCCTTCATGTATAACTTCTTTTGTGTTTAGAGGCACCATGCTTAACAGCTGCAGCAGTATTAGATATTTATTCTCTACTCCTTTATGGGAAAAATTGCTGGGCTGCTCCAAAATTATAATGTTCTAACTGTAATTCTACCCCCAGTTGAGAGGGGTGGGGACGTTAGGGGGATCCCTTAGCAGCCAGGCTATGATAACATCACCAAATTTTAGTATGTATGTACTATTTTAAGACTATGAATGTTTGAAAAGTATGAATACTTAGTATGATTGCAGATAGATAAACAAGAGTAATTTATAATAGTGGCTATTCAAATTCTCTGATAAAATTTCCTAATAAAGCAGACTCCACAATCAAAATATTCAACTGTCAGGCTCTTGATCATTATGTAATAAATAGTGCATTTCTGTGATAGATAATCAAATATTTTCATAAATTCATTTTTTGCTGGTTTTCATTTATTTGTTTACATTCATATATACTGATGTGCACTTACGTGGGTATTCATATTATTTGGGGGACAGAGATTGACAATGGGTGTCTTTCCTCCATTGATCTAACCTTCTATTTTTTGAGAGAGGGTCTATGTTGGCTACTCTTGGATGTGAAATTGCCTAAATCTGGAATTAACTAAACCCCAAGTGGCAGGAATACCTGTGAAGATTTTTTTCTTAATTAAATCATTTGGAATGGGAAGATCGTTAATGCAGATCTTTTGATGTGGGAAGATTCATGTTTAAATGGCCAATACCTGGTGGCAGCCTACAGAAAGCACACAGAAGAAGGAAGTTTTTGCTATTTCCCTGGTTGCTCTCAATCTCACTGGCAAGTTCATTCCTTTAACTAGCATTAGAGTCTACTTCTTCAAGATTACAATGTATAAACACCAACAGATATCTAGCCTGTTGGGCTGAAGTACTACTGGATTCCTTAACTTTCAACTTGGCAGACAGCCATTGCTGGACTAGCTGAACCACACCCTGTAAGCCATTCAAATAAATCCAGTATACACAGTAACACAGGGTCACTCACTAAACCAGGAACTCACCATTGTCCACACTGGTTAGTGAGCTCCAGGAATGTATCTCTTGACTCACCAGGACAGGGATTACAGGCAGGAGCTACCAGACCCAGCTTTATTACATGGTTGCTGGAGATTGAAACTCACTACCTGATGTTTGCATAACAAGCACTTACCAACTGAGATATCTCCCCAGCTCCACTTCTTATCTTCTTTGTAGAGATACAAGAATGTTTATGAGAATTCAGTAATATAAACAGTATCTATTGAAATCAGTATTCATGTCAACTGAATTCTAAAACATTTTAGGAAAAGCAATTATTTTATAAAGATCAGAGTAATAAAAATGCACTCCCAACACTCTGACAATGTTGTCAGATGAAGGCATTATCAAAAGATTACAGAGGCTTAAAATCAAGAAAAATTCATGTGAAAGTTTAATTTCCTAAATACATATAGTCTGCTTTTGAATGTACAACATAATGCTATCTGTTCTGTTTTGTTCTTAGTTCTTACTTTACAACTGTATTAGCAGTGTATGTTCAACTTCCCTAGTTATGATATCTAAACAACTCATATATTTCACTCAACACTTTTTCAACTATACATCATGAAGTTTAAAATCATTCAATTAAATATACTGGCTAGTCTAAGTTACATTTCTCAACTTTTCATTCTGATAAAATTTTATAGAGCATTAACTCCCCTCATTTCTAACTAAGGTTCTTCAGAGTTTTTAACTTTGTGTGTGTGTGTGTGTGTGTGTGTGTGTGTGTGTGTGTGTGTGTGT